TGAAGTGAAATAAGCCAGGCACACAAAGAAAATACCCCATGTTCACACTTGCTTGTGGGATCTAAAAATCAAAGCAATTGAACTCGTGGGGATAGAGAATACAAGAATGGTTAACAGAGCCTGGGAAGGGGGTAGAGGGAGGAAGGTGGATGATTAATGGGTACAAAAAAATAATTTAAAAAATGAATAAGGCCAGGCATAGTGGCTCACACCTACAATCACAGCACTTTGGGAAGCCAAAGCAGGTGGATCACCTGAGGTCAGGAGTTCGAGATCAGCCTGGCCAACATGGTGAAACTTCATCTCTACTAAACATATAAAATTTAGCTGGCTGTGGTGGCAGGCACCTGTAATCCCAGCTACTGGCAAGGCTGAGGTAGGAGAATCCGTTGAACCCAGGAAGTGGAGGTTGCAGTTAGCTGAGATCACGCCCCTGCACTCCAGCCTGGGAGACAGAGTAAGATTCCATCTCAAAAAAAAAAAAAAAAAAAAAAAAGAATAAGACCCAGTGTTTAGCCCAACAGGAGACTATAGTCAATAATAATTTAATTGTACATTCAAAAATAACTAAAATAGAGGCCAGGCGCAGTAGCTCATGCTGGTAATTTCAGCACTTTGGGAGGCCAAGGCGGGTGGATCATGAGGTCAGATCAAGACCTTCCGGGCTAACACAGTGAAACCCTGTCTCTACTAAAAATACGAAAAATTATCCAGTGTGGTGGTGCACGCCTGCAGTTCCAGATACTTAGAAGGCGGAGGCAGGAGAATCGCTTGAATCTGGGAGGTGGAGTTTTCAGTCAGCCAGTTCCCGCCATTGCACTGCAGCTTGGGTGACAGAGTGAGATTCAGTCTCAATTAAAAAAAAAAAGAAAAATTAAAAGAGTATAATTGGATTGCTTATAACACAAAGGATAAATGCTTGAGGGGATAGATACCCCATTCTCCATGATGTGACTATGCACACGTTGCATGCCTGTACCGAAACATCTCATGTACTCATCAATACATATACCCGGCCAGGCAGAGTGGCTCATGCTCAGCACTTTGGGAGGCCCAGTAAGACGGATCACTTGAGCCAGGAGTTGGAAGCCAGGCTGAGTAACATAGTGAGACCCTGTCTCTAATAAAAATTAAAAAAAGTCAGGTGTGGTGGTGCAGAGAGCTGAGATGGAGACTGATGTGAGTCACGATCACGCCCCTGCACTCAAGCCTGGGCAACAGAGCAAGACCCTGTCTCATACACACACACCACACACACACACACACACACGCACGCAAGCACACACACACACACACACATCTATACATACATACCTAAATTTGTTTATGTAATTTTATATAATTCATTATAGTTTACATATTATATATAATTCATTATATAATTTTTTTTTTCAAGACAGAGTCTGACTCTGTCACCCAGGCTGGAGTGCAATGGTGCAATCTCGGCTCACTGCAACCACCAACTCCCAGGTTCAAGAGATTTTCCTGCCTCAGCCACCTGAGTAGCTGGGATTGCAGGCACATGCCACCACGCCTGGCTAATTTTTATATTTTTAGTAGAGACGGGATTTCACCACTTTGGCCAGGATGGTCTCGATCTCTTGACCTTGTGATCCGCCCGCCTCAGCCTCCTAAAGTGTTGGGATTACAGGTGTGAGCCACTGCACCTGGCCCTGTTTTTTTTAATTAAAAATAAAATAAAACAAAGAATGTCACTGTTTCTGAAAGGCCACTGTCCAGAAAGAACACAGAGCATATTCCAAGTTTGAGTTGTCCATTGGGTCATCAGCCACGTTGTGCTGAAAAACACAAACACAGCTTTTACACACACTCATAATGCAAAGTCCTTATCACAGAATTTAAAATCTCATTCAAAGACCATTGCATAAAATGAACATCTTGTATTGCTGGATGTCATTCAAAAATGGCAGCTATTTGAATTTCACTATATTCAGACTCCAAAAATTTTTCCAAAAATGTTTTGTCCTTGGTGGGCTATATAAAGCCATCAACAATTATCTACTCACAGTCACAATGATGGTGTTCAAGCCCAGGCCAGGATAAATGAACTGCCCCCACCACGCATGCCTGCCCAGGTCCTGCCCCAGGTGCCCCCCACCTCACCCCCATCGCTCTGGAATGGCTCCCACTAAACCAAGTCAATGGTTCCCACTAAACATAAAACATCCCTGCCCTGCCCCCAGCATGGAACTGTTCCCACCACCTCGTTCCTCATTAAACCTAAACCCTATTATTGGGCCAAGTCATTTTTAAACAGGCCAAATTTCCCATGCAGGCCTGTTCCATACTGCACCTCCCGAGCCGTAATATTGCATCAAAGCCTTTAGGGCACAGCTGTAAATCCTGGGGAACCAACAACACTCCATTGAAAATGGTGGATGAGTTTGAAACCACTGCTTCCCTGCATTGTTCCTTAATAAAACCTCCAGTTAAGTCAAGGGCTGATCTTTTTGTTTGCTCTGTTTCCTACCGGGTGCTTTGCCATCTGGAACTACAGATCTTATGGTCATAGTGATTTGTTTCTTTGGAGCATTAAATCCTAGTCAAATGGTCTGAGGTTTCTACACATCCTAGCATGCCTACTTTATTTTACCTTTCTTATTTATTTATTTAGAGACAGAATATCATTCTGTCACCCAGGATGTAGTGCAGCGGCAGGATCTCGGCTCACTGCAAACTCCACCTCCCAGGTTCAAACGATTCTCCTGCCTCAGCCTCCCAAACAGCTGGGACTACAGGCATCACCATCACACCCGACTAATTTTTGTATTTTTAGTAAAGACAGGGTTTCACCATGTTGGCCAGGCTGGTCTCGAACTCCTGACCTCAGGTGATCCATCTGCCTTGGCCCCTCCCAAAGTGCTGGGATTACAGGCATGAGCCACCGTGCCCAGTCATATGCCTACTTTAAAGCAGAGCACCAATTTGACACTGGAATAATTCAGTTTAGCAACTAATTCGTCAAAAATGTTCTCTGAAAGAAGAGGGGGAATGTGAAGGGCGGCCTGTTTTCTGCAGACCGTGGTTGAATGCCGAGTGCCCCTGCGCACTGGCTGTGCAGCCCTGAGGATGTCACTCAACACCCCTGAGCCTCAGTGTCTTCATCTGTAAAACGAGCAGGAGCATAACACCATTCAACTCCCGGGAAACAAATGACAGCGCCAGGAAAAGAGTAAAGAAAGCCGCTTGCTGGAACCCAGTCAAAGGTAACCATTGTCATCTGGGGCAGGGCGGGGCGGGGTGTGCGTGCATGAGGCCCCAGTACCTGATTTACACGAGGGCGTGTCAGCAAAGCAGTAGAGCCAAGAACTGGATGATGGAGACGGTGGCTACATAGCGTGGAGCCCCCAGCCCATCTTCAACGGTGGTCCAGGCTGTGCGCCCCGGGTGAGACGGCCTCAGGAACCAGCCTCCTTGGAAGGGAATCCATCCTAAACCCAGCTGCCTGATTAACGGCTGGGGGACCCACATTACTGATGCCGCAGACACGCAAAACATCCCTGCCCCCAGCACAGAACTGTTCCCACTACCTTGTCCTCCTTAAATCTAAACTCTATTATTGGGCCAAGTAATTTTTGAACAGGCCAAATTTCCCATTCTGTCAGATACAGTGGTACAGAAGAAAAACTTCCTAGGAATATCCATAATCCCAATTAATTCGCCCTTAAGAGCCTATTCCATATTCTCCACACATTTTACAATCTCACAAAACCTAAAATATTCACCAACAAATAGATTGTACTGCCAAAACTGCACAGAAGGTTTGTATCATATCAAAACTGAATCTGTAAGTTTCACATCGTATAAGCAAATAACTAACTGGAAGCTGTTAGCTATCCAACCCCTCCTATATCACAGAATTACAGCCAACCTTGGAAACAAAAGAAATCAGAAAGTTAACTTGTTAATTCTTCCAGGGCTCCCATGGCAATGCTGTATCCTAATAACTCACTGTTTAAATAACCCCTCTGAAACTGACTCAGGCAGAGAGCCAATCTGAGCTCTTCCTGGCCGTCCATGGTCTTATAAATAAGGTCACCTGCTTGCAGCAGCACCCTTGGATGCATGGTCAGGCAAACCTCAGAGAGCCACTGGGGGACCTTTATTGCTCCCCCAGCCCCTGCCAAGGTCTTCTTTCTCTTCTGCGTCTCCCAATTCCAACACATTCTATTAGTACCCCTCCCCAGCACCACAGGCCAGCCCTGGTCCTCGGGGTCAGAGGCGTGGAGGACCTGCCAAGCATCTGACCGCTGAGCCAAGGTTTCCTCTCCCTTCTGTTCACTTCCAGCCCCAGGGCCGGCAAGCAAGGTTCCCACACTGGCTCCACTAACTGGGCAGGCCTCTTCAACAGCACCCAAATTACAAGCCCGGGTCCAGGAGCAGAAGCCAAGATGAAATGAGGCTATGCTTTTCAAAGAGCTTACACAAAGCCCTGCACACAGCCGTCCGACTGTTATCATCTGGAGGAGACAGAAAATCGAGACCAAGGGAACACCAGCTACATTACAGGGTGACTCAGGGGCCCGTCTGACAATCTCCAACAGTGCCACCTTGGAATTAATTGGCACATGGAAGGGGCAGTGATCTCTGATCTTCCCAGAGAGCCCTGTGGCTGGTTGATGAAAGAGCATACCCAAGCAAACCCTGTGACCCAGATCACCCAGAGGCCACATTTTAATAGCTGTACGCAGGAGCCACTAGCCTGCTGAGGAAGGCACTGAGCCCTGGTCTTGAACTTGGAGAAGTGCAGGCCTGCTCCCAGGAAAATGCTGACGGAAGCAGCGCAGTGCCTCTCCCCCTAGCTGGGCCTAAGTGGGGCACTCGCCCCCAGCATCCAAGCAGAGGCAACAAATCCTTGCAGAGCTCCCCACGCCCGGCCCAGATGCACCCCAGCATGCCAGGAAAGGCCCTTGGTGGGTTCCTGAGGTTCTCCAGGCGGCCCACCCGGAGCCACTCCTCCTGCCCCAACGGCCACTTGCCAGACATGGACACCTCCATGAGCGCCTCTAGCAGCCAGTTGTTGTCCAGGTCCTGGCTGAGCTGCAGCTCGCCCGTGGTAGGGTCCAGTAGCAACAGGTGTAGCTCATTGCCACGCAGGAAGGTGTAGTTGAGGCTGTCTGATACGTTGGGGTCATGGGCCGGGATGCGGCCGATCACGCCAGTGGGGAAGCTGTTTGACTTGTTGGTGACATAGTTGTTGAAGAGGATCTGGAAGTCGGGCAGTACCGGAGGGTTGTCTTTCTGGTCCACAAGAAGAATGTGCACCGTGGCTCGGCTCACCAGCAGGGCCGACATGGCCTGCACCACCAGCACATACTCCTGCCACACCTCAAAGTCCAGCTCCACCAGGGCACGCAGGTCCCCGTTCAGCAGGTCCAGCTGGAAAAAATGCCACATGTCGCCCTCCACAATCTGATACATGATCTGGGCACTGGGGCCTTCGTCAGGGTCCTGAACACTGATCTTTGCCACCACCGACCCGACTGGGTTGTTTTCCTCTACAAACAGCTCCAGCTCGTCCTTCTCAAACATGGGGGCATTGTCATTAATGTCAAAGATTGTCACCTGGATTTCCACCGAGGCGCTAAGGGCAGTGGGGCTGCTGCGATTCACAGCCACAGCCCAAAGGTTGTACACAGCCACATTCTCCTGGTCCACTCGGTGCTGGATGTGGATGCCACCGGACGTGGGCTTGATGTAGAAGTTCCCATCACTGTCGTCCCCACCCTGGAAGGTGTACAGCAAACGCCCATTGGGACCCGAGTTTTGGTCCCTGGCAGAGACCTGGAGGATGCTGGTTGAGGGTGGAGCATCCTCAAAGATGGAACCCTGGTAGAAATCCCACAGGAACTGGCTTGCGTTGTCATTGGCATCAAGGATGAGGATCTCCGGGGTGGCGGTGTCCGACTTCTGCAGGATGCTGTTGTCCAGGGCCATGATGGTTGGCATGTAGGTGACCTGCTGCTGATAATCCAGCTTCATCATGGTGTACATGATGCCACTGTCGGAGTCAATGCAGAACTGCGGCATGGGGTCCTGAACCACGTAGGTGATGTGGGCGTTCTCTCCTGTGTCATCGTTGACACTGAGGGTAGCAATGGAGGTGCCCAAGGGCCTGTCCTCACTGACCCTCACAGTGTAATGGGAGCTCTGAAAGACCGGCCAGTGGGTGTTGGCGTCAGTGATGTTGATGAGGACATACGCGGTGTGTGACCGTGTGCCATTGGACGCTGTCACCGCCAGCATGTACTGCTGCTCATGCTTGTAGTCCAGAGGTGAAGCCAGGGTGATGAGGCCGCCCCCCATCTGGCTGCTGAGCACAAAGCGGTTCCAGGTGTTGCCGCCCGTGAGCTGGTAGGTGATCACACTGTTGGCGTCGCGGTCGCGGGCCTGCAGGGTCAGCACGCTGCTCCCCACGGCCGCATCCTCGTTCAGACGCAGCTCGTAGGTGGGCTGCGTGAATACCAGGTCATTGTCGTTCACGTCCAGCACTGTGATGGAGACGCTGGTGGAGGAGCTCATGGGGGGCGAGCTGTGGTCCACGGCCTCCATCCCGAAGCTGTAATGCTCCACCTCCTCACGGCCCAGCTCAGCACACAAAGTGATCCAGCCGGAGCTGTTGTGGATCTGGAAGGGGAAGTCTGGGACTGGGACAGGGTTCTTAGGCCCAGCGCTGCCGCCCCCAGAAAGGCGGAGGCCGTGTCCACCAGGCGATAGTGCAGCCAGGCGTTCTCCCGAGTCGGCGTCCACTACCTGAATGTGTACCACGGAGTAACTCAGGGGCACGTTCTCCAGCACCGTGGCCTGGAAGGGGCTGCTCACAAAGATGGGCTCGTTGTCACTGACATCCAGCACCTGCACAGACACCACCCCAGAGGAACTGATGAGCGGGGGCCAGCCCCCATCCTGGGCTTTGAAGCTCAGCAATTACTTCTGGACATCCTCGAAATCCAGGGGGTTGATCACATCCAGGATCCCTCTCAGCGAGTGCAGGCAGAACTGCCCGGCCATGTTCCCGCTGAGGATGCTGTAGTGAATAGCCGCGTTCTGGCCCCGGTCTCGGTCCGTGGCCTGCACGCGTAGCACAGCCGTGTTGAGCCCCACGTCCTCGGGCACCTGGACCACGTAGTTCTGCTCGCTGAACTGGGGGTAGTTATCATTCTCGTCCTCCACCTCGATGTACACTGTGGCCGTGGCGCTGAGCAGACTTGCGCGCTCCTCCTCGCCCTCGATGTTGTAAAGCGCGCGAAGCTGAAGGAGAGAGGTGCCCGCCGGCTCGTTCTCAACGCCACCTGGTAGTTGGGCATCGGGAACTTCAGGCTCCCTCGGCTGCTCGTGCCCCGCCGGGCCCCGTTGCACAGGCCCTGCCCGGGTTTGGGGCAAGTTCGGCGGCAGCAATAGCGATGGCGACGCGGAGGGCGTCCCCAGGGCGGCGGCCTCCAGTGCCAGCTCCACCCGGATGGCGCCAGCCGCGCATCACAGGGCGCAAAGCAGACGCAGGCATATGGGGCGGCCGGGACAGCTGGGCCAGGGACGCGGTGGGCGGCTGCAGGCGGGGACGGTGGTCGGAGCTGCGAGCACTGAACGCTGCGCAGCCGCACCGCCACCAAGGACGGGGAAGCAGAGCGCCCCGCAGAGCCCAGGCCCTGGGAGCACAGCCCGCGCACGCCGGGCACGGGCTTGGCAGCCGGGATGGTGCGCGGGCGCCCGCTGGCGGAGGCTCAGCGCCATCGGGGCACCGTGGGCCGTCAAGAGGACTTGCAGCGGCAGCAGGCGCCCTGCCAGGTGCATGCAGCCCCGGGGCCCGGCGCCCGAAATGCGCCGCCGTCCTGCCAGCCTCCCCTCGCGGCCCAAGTCCAGCAGCTCCCAGGGGGTTTGCGCGGCGCCCACCGTGTAGGTACCGCCAGGCCCGATGGTGAAAGCGCGGGCCCCGCCAGGTACACTCAGCTCCCAGGCGGCCGCTGGCAGCCCCAGCGCCGGCAGGGCGGCGGCGGCGGCCAGGAGGAGCAGCACGCGCGGCGGCAGCGCCATGGCCCGGAGCCGGAGCCTGAGCCCGAGCCGGAGCCCGAGCCCGAGCCCAAGCCCGGCGCCCGAACACAATCCATGCACCCGGCGCACCTCCGCAACCAGCCGGCACTGCTGGGAAGCGGCTCCTGCGCGCCCGGCGCCCGGCCCTCTCGGCGGTCCGTGTCCCGCCTCCCCGGAGGTCCTGGCTGGGACTGTGGGGACCGCGCGCCCGGCCTTCCCCGCAGCTTCCACTTCGAGAGCACTTTGCGAAAGTCTGCGAAGTTGGTTTCAAGATGGCTTCTCTGCGCGTCCCGGGAGGGCGCCGCGAATCAATCTGCGGCGGCAGCGGCTCCAGGCGGCTCCAGGTGGCTCCGGCGAGGGCTCGGTCTGGCAGGCGTGGGAAGCGGGGCGGCCCGGCGCTGGGCAGGGGCTGAGTTCCTGGAGCGGGCTGAGCCGCACCTCGCAGCGCAAACCCCAGAGGCCGGCTGCTGCCTGGGCAATGCGCTCAGCCCACGCCCCTTCCGCCGGGGCTCTCCCGGCGCCCGGCCCTGCCGCGTATTGTTCTGCCCGGGCGGGGTGGGGGTGGGGGCCAGCAACGAGGTGCGCAGCGGGAGGCTCGCTATGGAGACGCCAGGGCGCGGCCAGGGCGGGGGCTGAGGGGCCTACTCCCCAGCGGCCTCCCTACCCAACCTCCCGGGGGGCGGGGCCGAGGGAGGGGGGCCGGGAGAGGTGGGGCTGGGGCTGGGGCCCCAGTTGGCCGCTACCCGTGGGGCGGTGGCTCCACACCTCTGGCGCGGGGCCTCTGCTCAGAGCCTGGCTTCCCACTCCGGCAGGACAGATCCACGGAGACCACCGCTAGGGGTGCCGCGCGGATGGGACCCGGGGGCCAAGGGCTGGGGCCGAGGGGCCACGGAGTCCCCCATTAAGGACTGCGGCGGCTGTCGGGAGGGGGTTACCCATTTTACAGCAAGACGCACGGAGGCGAAAATGCTTCACCCGGACAAAACTCCCTGGACTTTGAAACCCAATTGGCAGCTACCGGATCTGCGTGCCACTTGGTTTAAAGCGCAACTTTTAACTTAAAGAAGAAAAGCCGGGTTGACATTAGTGATTTGGAGCAGACGGTGGCGGCCCGCTCATCTTCCGCGTGCGGCCGGCTCCGAGCGTCAGCGGACATGCTGCGGAGTCCTACAGCGTCCAGCTCCTCCCGAAGCGGGTTGAGGAGGACTGGGGGCCCTGGAAGCCTCCTGTGGCGAGCAAGCACCCGCGGGGATTTAGAGCTGGCAGCGGCCTCTCCCCGGCCTCCTGCAGAGGCCAACAGTTGGGGGACGGGGGTAGAAACCTTGGAGCTTTCGGAACCGCTACACACACCCGCCTCCTGCAGGGAACCACGGGCGGGGCGGGGGCAGCTTTAGGTCTGAGAGACGGGTACACCTGCCTCCGGATCTGGCACAGCCATAGAGGGGGTGGAGGCTTAGGACTTCGCGAACCCCCCCATGGGCGGGGCTTTGGGACCGTGCGACATCACCCTTCCTGTGGAGCTTTGTGACTGTGTCACCAGCTGGAAAGGACACGCACTCTCCCTCGGTGGCGATAGGGCGCCAGAATCCAGGGCAGCCCTTAGGCCTCCCAGTGGTCGGGGACGGTAGGTGGAGGGCTCCTGGGGCCGGTCGGAGCGGTGGGGTGGGAGTATTGCGCAGTCACCTCTAGAGTGGTCTTTTTGGCAAGGGAGGGTCAGATCCTGCGCCAAATCTCTGAGCTGAGCTTAGATGAATCCAGTCTCAGCGAGAACCCTGGGCAGCTGCGGAGACCGGGAAGCGTTTCTCCCCCAGAACGAGCGATGTGTCTGTGTGTCACACCCATACTCAGCCAACTTCACTCAAAGCTTTTGAAACAATGGCTTCAGGGTGAATGAAGCCCAACGCAAGCATTTTCTTCCCAATATCAACGGTGAAGACATTATATTGATCTAAAGGGTGGAGTTTTGCCGGGCGCGGTGGCTCTCGCCTGTAATCCCAGCACTTCGGGAGGCCAAGGCAGGTGGATCACGAGGCAGGAGTTCAAGACCCGCCTGGCCAACATGGTGAAAACCTGTCTCTACTAAAAACACAAAAATTAGCTGGGCGCGGTGGCAGCGCCTGTAATCCCAGCTACTTGGGAGGCTGAGGCAGGAGAATTGTTTGAACCTGGAAGGCGGAGTTTGCAGTGAGCCGCGATTGCGCCACTGCACTCTAGCCTGGGTGACAGAGCAAGACTCCACCTCAAAAAAAAAAAAAAAAGGTGAAGTTGCTTTGGAACTTTTTACTTCTGGGTTCCCACTGGAGAGTCCTGCTGGGAAATGTGTGTGTGGATGGAAGGGTAGAAGGAGAAAAAGTCCACCCCTTAATGTGACCGGTCTAGGACCTCCCCACCCCCCATATACCTTTCCACTTGGATTTTTCCAGGAAGGAGGAAAGGACAGGAGTTCTGGGGCAGGAAGGCAGGGTGGGTCCCTGAGCCTGGAGCCTCACAGTGGAAAGCTGCTGGGGGAGTCTAAAGGGGACCCAGGCGCAAGGAAAACCAGAGACGCCCAGGAATGCATATTTTGCAATAAGGCTTTAAGCAGGACGGGTTGGGTTTAAATAAACAAAACTCAGCTGCAGCCGGTGGGTTTTGGTGTGGGCCTGCTTTCCTGGAATAAGACACCTGCAGGCTGCAAGGTAACCCCAGGGACTGCATAGCACCATTTCCAGGTCCTAGGGACAAGTGAGGATGGATGAATCTAACAGGACGTCCAGCAAAGATGAAAGATCATTCCATTCACACTTAGTCCGACAGCAAGTCCAACTTCACCATAACATTTAGGGGTGCACACAAATAGGGGAAAGGTGAAAAAAAGCAAGGAGGTGTCTATGGGCACATTTCGGAGGGCTCTGGGGGGCAGGGGCGTCCCCTTCCAGACCTGAGGGTTACCGGAGTGTTGGCTTCGTGATCACACATTGAACTCCATGCACCTGCTCTGTGTACTTTTCCCCATGCCTGCATGCTAGAGTCCGCAGTTTTATTTTTATTTGTATTTACTTTTAAATAGAGATAGGGTCTCACTATGTTGCCCAGGTTGGTCTCAAACTTCTGGGCTCAAGAGATCCTCCCACTTCAGCCTCTCAAAGTACTAGGATTACAGGTGTAAGCCACCATGCCCTATATAGAGTCCACAGTTCTTTTTTTATTTTATTTATTTATTTTTGAGACAGTGTCTCACTCTGTAACCCAGGCTGGATTGCAGTGGTGAGATCTGGGTTCAATGCAATCTCTGCCTCCCAGGTTCAAGTGATTCTCCTGCCTCAGCCTCCCAAATAGCTGGAATTAGAGGCAGGTGTCACCAGTCCTGGCTAACTTTTGTATTTTTAGTAAAGACGGGGTTTCGCCACTTTGGCCAGGGTGGTCTCGACCTCCTGACCTCAGGCGATCCACCCACCTCAGCCTTCCAAAGTGCTGGGATTGCCGGCATGAGCCAGCAATAGAATTGTGGATTCTGCACCCAGCCTAGAATCCACAATTCTAAATAAGTGGGGAGGAGAGAGGGACTAAAAAGACAAAGGCTGCAGCTTGTGCTGGGACGGCTAGGTGGTCCTGCTGCATCAGAAATCAGGAGTCTGGGACAGGATTACACGCCTGTAATCCCAACACTTTGGGAGGATGCGGTGGGTAGATCACCTGAGGTCAGGAGTTCAAGACGAGCCTGGCCAACGTGGTGAAACGCTGTCCCTACTAAAAGTATAAAAGTTGTCCAGGTGTAGTGGCAGACACCTGTAATCCCAGCTACTCAGGAAGCTGAGGCAGGGGAATAACTTAAACCTGGGTTGCAGTGAGCCAAGATCATGCCACTGCACTCCAGCCTAGGCAACAAGAGCGAGACTCCATCTCAAAAAAAAAAAAAAAAAAAAGAAGAAGAGAAAGAGAAAGAGATTCACGAGTCTGAAATCACTGGCCTCTTCGAGGGGTGAGCTTTAATTTGCCACTAACTAGTTATGTGACCTTCACCAAGGCCTAACTCCTGGTTCTCACTGGACGCAGTAGTCCTAGACTCCTAGCATGGTTGAAGGATTAACAAGAAAATCTGCACGAAGCGGTTGGCGCAGGGCCCGGCTCAGGGATGGATCTGCCAGGTCTAGCATTGACCATGATCACAGTTGTTTCCTAGCATGAGTTCAAGGCTGCCTCCTCTCCCTCTTCATTACGCGAATCCACGCATCAGTGTCTGCGGAGAAGCGGGGGCTGCAGCTTTCACCTGATTTCCCGAGGGCTCTGCACTGGAACGCTGATCCAGTGCAGCCAGTGTGTTTCCAGAAAGTGGAGCTAATGCCCAGAGAGCGGAAGGGTGTGCTTGGGGCTTTGTAAAGGGCAGCGACCTGTTTGGTGGGCTCTTTCACTGCCCAAGTCTGTGGCTCCCACAGGCCACTCCGCAGATCGTGTCCTTCCCCCTTGACCTTGGCTTGGAACAGGGTCTGTCCTCACTTAACCCCATGCGCCACCATCTCTGGGGGCCAGTGGCCCACTCATGACTCTCCGGGTGGGGAGGAGGCTTGGAGTTGAGTAACGGCACCCTGGGTCATTCCTGCACCCGTCACCCTGAGAGCCACTGGCCAGAAGAGGCCCCATGTTCTGTGATGTTTTCTGTGCCTGCAATTGCTGCTTGCAGCCTTTCCGAAGGGAAAGGCTCCTGCGGGCATCCGTGGTGCGGTCAGCGGGTCGGCGGCGTCCCCTGCGCTGTCAGTCAGTAACGACAGCGGCGTCCAGAGGGTCTGCGGCGTCCAGAGTGTCTACGGCCTCCGCGCGTCTGGGCCATCAGCGGCGAGGGCAGAGCATCCACCGGGCTACCGCGGCGTCCGAGGCTCGGTCGGCGCGTCTGGGGCGTCAGCAGCATCTGCCGCGTGTCTGGGTCACGCGTGACGTCCGCGCGGGGTCAGTGCATCGGTGGAGTCTGCGGTGCAACGGCGGCGTCCACGGGGTCTGCGGCGCGTCGGCGGGGACTGGGCGTCAGC